GCTGTTGTAGCGGGGAGCACTGACGCTTGCTGCAGGGGTGTGTTGCGGGGGGGGGGGGGGGGCCGTCGCCCCCCCCCCCCCCTCGCCCTCCCTCTGGCCCGCCGATGTGTGTGTGTGTGTGATTCAAAGGAGAGAATAAAAGTCACTCTCACGAGGAGAGCCACACTAACATTTTGGTGCCGTGACCCACTCTTCTTTTACTTTTTCTCATCGAAAAGAAGAGATAATTACTGGGGATATTAACTCATCCTAACGGAAAGAGTGGTTTATTTCTCATACATTACGGGAAGAGAGTGGAACACAATCAACTACGACAATTTTAATTAGTATTATCAAAATTATCCAGCCGAAAACTGTAAGAATTTTTCATATACTCGAATTTTCTTTTTCGTTCTTAGTAAACAAACCCATACACGTCGCGGAGGATATCCGACGAACAACAGAAGAAATCAGTGCAAACCTTTATTTACACATTCGGCCTATACGAAAATGTCCTCACCGGCAGTAAAAGATACAGCACCGAGAAATACCTCGGCGGACGAAATCCAAATGAATACCACCCCGACGAACAAGATGACGAAATCCGATGCCTGGATCGATTTTACCTCGATGGAGCTCCGACAATTACATGCTAGTCAACAAGAAGCAATGAAGAAAATTAATGAGTTTTCCGGTGAATCTGATGAATCGGACATTGATGAATGGATATATGATTTAACAAATTTATTCTCGCTGATGAAATTACAAGATGAAACAAAAGTGCTGATGGCAATGGGGAAACTTACGGGATCAGCCTTACGTTGGTATCAAGAAAATCTAACATCATTCGACAATTGGAAAGAAGCCGAAGATGCATTACATAATCGGTTCCGGACATCAGCGTCGATTGGTCAACTGATACAAGAATTTTTCCAACTTCGACAAGAAGAAGAACAATCGGTAACATCGTTCTACGACATGGTCATGCGTAAATACCGACAACTCGGCAAATCAATCACCGAGAACCAAATTATCACAGTATTGCAAGCCGGCGTGAAACGTTCACTGAAAGAACATCTATTCCGTAATGAAGTGAACATGTCGAGACCAGACGAATGGCTGATATGGGCGAGAGATGAGGAACGGGTGCAGCGACGAATTCAACAACGCATTACGCCACCACGAGCAGAAACACGTAAACCATACTTCGAACCAACGTTATCGACAGCAGNACGGTAGATTGTGCACAACTGCACGCTGGATATGCTCTAGCGATATTCCATGGTTATCTCTTTCGACGTTTGTTGTAGCTGTAGTTCGTTTATCAACGAGTGACCATTTGATTTCATTTCCGTGTTCCTTTTTTCGGATTTTGTTTGATTTTACTAATGTAAAATCATCGCTAGCATTTAGCGAGCGTTTTGTTTGTTCTTGTGAATCAACGAAATCAATGTATGAGTCATGATTTTTTTCGTTATTGTCGGCTACATGCATTTCATCTTGTTCTAATAAAATAGGGGTATTGTTTTTTTCTTCGGTGTGAATTGTTGTCGGTGCATGTTGGCATGCAGTTTCGCTTGTATCGTTGTTCCACGTGCTTTCTTTTTGTTGTTTTGTCTGTTGTTGATTCACGATTGTTTTAGTTATTGTTGAGTTTTTCTGATTACTCATTGCAAACGGTCGTACAACAGGTGCTTTTGACGTTGATTTTTTTCCTCATGGTTTAAAGTTAGATAGAAATAGTTTTTAGGTGTGTTTGATTGAAGCGAGTACCATTTACCGGATTTTGTATCAAAGATAATTTGAGAGCCATCACTACTCTTGAAAAGTTTAGGTTCTCCGCTCATAGTGAGCTAGGAGAGTAGTTGAAAGAGATAACGATTATAATTGCAAAGAAATATAATAGTGAGTACTAATGGGCTTAATGGTTTAATTGGGAATAGATAAACGAGCTTGAAATAATTAGTGAAAAAAGATAATGTAGCTGACGAGAAGATAAGAAAGCGGGGAGAGAGGGTAAAATATGAAAGGAATGCGTGTATACTCTCAGAGAGCTAAAGCAAGAAGTGGCTAGAATTGCAAGTGTCCTCCATCTGTTTACACGATAATTCTAGAAAAGCTAATGCGATTGAGATGAGCTGTTGGACGGTATATGATTACATCAAAATCTCGGAAGGTTTCGAAAATGAGACTGATTGAACCAGTGATTCATGGATTATTAAAAAAAGGAACTGATCCAGAATTGGAGTCGGTAAAAACTAGATATGATTGACTGAAATTCGTCTGAAACAAACGTGCTTTAGTTAACAACTTTGACAGACTTCGCGATATTGAAAAATAATACTAATTCCACATGCTTTTTGTTACTGGAGATTCTTCCGCCTCTAATGAGAATTGTTCGAAACTAGTACAGATTTAGTTCAAATTAGTAATACATTTGATTCTATCTCAAATCAATTCTGCTCAATCCTAGTCAATTCTAGGTTAATGCTGATTCTGGAATTGGAATTGGTGCATGCCTACCTTTATCTGATATACTTTTTAGAGTACACATCACTCTCGGATAAAATCCGAAGTTTCTACATTTGTCAATTCATATTACCTATATAATCAACAGCAAAAGATTGAAGACTATGACAACCGAGAACGCACTTAAAAACGTAACAGAATCGGACATTGAACAAACACAGAATACTATTGTAGTCTGGTTGGACAAGAATATTGATCATAGTAATCCTTGCTTTACCAATACAATTACACAGTTTCAGCGTATTTTAAGCAATGTTTACGCATTCACTGATAATGACCAATGTATCGAATTCATTCTAAACATCACAGACTACAAAGTATGTATGATCACTTCAAAATTACTTGGGCAAATTATTATGCCTTGCATACATGATATTTTTCAAATTGACTCGTTTTTAATCTTTCCTGGCAATGAAAATCAATCTAAGCAATGGGTCAACAAATGGTCCAAAATAAAAGTCGTTTCTACAGATGTCTCGAGCATTTGTCAAGCATTAAAGCAGCTAGCACGTCAATCTGAACAAAGTGATATACACAGAGAAATTAAATCATTAACCTGCACATCTTCCGATCCAAAACAAGGTCAGTCTTTAAACTAAACTAAAGATATCCAATATCTCACATCTTAATTAGAATCAGAACTCAGTTATTTTTACAATGCTTGTCGTAGTGGTGATTTATCTCTTGTTGAGCTATTCCTTGAAGAAATGTCAATAGAAGAAATAAATTATATCGAAGTCAATGGAGAGACTGCATTGCATGCTGCTGCCAGTAATAGTCATGATGATATTGTAAAATTATTATTGAAGAATTATGCGTTCCGCTCAATAAAGGATAGCTATGACCGCACACCCTACGACGTAGCGAAGAAAAGCTCAACCAAACAACTTTTCGTGCGAGAATCCGGCGCAGATCGATTTGGTGGACATCCAGCAGAACTCACATGGATGAGAGTTGACCCAAAGGCAGCTGAGTGGGCAGCATTTGAACGTCACAGACTGTCCGACCGCAGACATTTTGTGCAGAAGATTGATACAATACTAGATAAATATCTGAGTCAAGAATTATATGATACGGGTGGAATAGATCTAATCAAATATTTTTGTTGGAAAAGTAGAGAAGAACAAGATCCTATCTATCTTTTGAAAGCGTATACTGCACAAACACCATTTGTTAATGTACTTAATGAAGGATTGGCAACAAAGCCATCATCAGGCGATAGTAGGTCAGGACGTCGAGCATATATATCTGCTATGTCCCATCCTGATTTCGAACGTTTAATCTTTACTGGAATAACGTATCGTGGTATGAGACTAACAGAAGAAAATCTTGCCCAATATAGTGTTGGCAATCGCATCATGAACTATTCATTTCTATCGACGTCAAAACTGAGAGCTGTTGCCGAAACTTTTGCATGTGTTGGCGAACACGCAGACGGTAAACTATCTGCTCTGTGTACTTACATAATCAAAAATCGTTCTACTGCTTTGGCTATCGAAGAAGTTTCTGAATATCAGTTCGAGGAGGAAGTTCTGATACTGCCCTACAGTGCTTTTGAAGTGACTCTCGTTCATAAGACCAGTATGAATAAAGATATGATGAATATTGTAATGACCTTTGAAGAATGTGATCTGGTAGAGCCATATTTTTCCGGGTGTGCTTATATTGCTCCCGATGTCTATGAATTATGGTATCAAAATAATCGTAATGAATGTCATGATCAGAGCTCGAAATCAACCAAGTATCTTCGAATAGAGTTCGGCTCAGATACAGAAGGCTCAGGTATGGGTGTTTATATTAACTATGCGAACAATTTTCAAGGCAATGGGAGCAAAGATGACACAAGTGAAAGGATCCCAGATGCTCCCACATAGCATTGGTAAGCGAAAATATAATTAAACCTTAAATTGGGTGTGAAACTATACATGAAATAATAAAGCTTACCGCGAACAGTTTTAGATTTTATTTTCTAAAGCCTTTGTCAAATTATAGAAGAATTCTATACGAATGGAAAATGCAAAAGGGAATTTCAAAGAAATCTTTTCGTTGCACTCAAAAATAAGTACACTGTTCGAATCAAGGGGAAGCCAGACTTCATCTACTTCAAATAGTATTATTGAAGTGCCAGTGAAGTACGACTGAAGTAATTGAAGTCTGAAGTTTCGCTTCCCCTCCCCCTTAAATTGAATACTTTTGAAGCGCGCTCGCTCTCTTTTGAAAACGATTGTAACCATTTTAATGATGACGGATTCTTGGATTTGATTCTTTGCGATTTTATTTCGATACTGTAAAGATTATTGTAAGCAAAACATTATGCCGCATACTTAACAAAAATGCACATTGACACTGATTTGCAATCTTTATCTCATTTGCTAGAAGAAACTCTTTAGTTATACGACACTTTTTCAAACAATGCTTTCATATTAGATACATAAGGATTCAGAGAGGAAGACACGCATGATTTTGTTCCTCTGAAAGTGTCCCTCTTGCTTTTGAGCGAGTGCACATATTTGTATTCTTTCGGTACTCTCACCTTCACCCTCAATGTGTGGAGAAATTGAATCTGGTACACCATATAATTGAGCTTGTGAAATAATAACAACGATAGATACAACAGAAGATGTTTATAGTCACGTGACATCTGGAAGAGTAAGTAGTATTGATGGGAATAAATCATTTTTAGAGTGTGAGTTACTAGATAACACCCATACTCGCACCCACCTACAGCTTTTTCTTTCAAAAAGGATTGTACAACATGTTGCACTGGATTTCAAATGGGTCCGTTTTATTCTAGTACGTCAATTAGAGAAAAGCTGAGTAGGATTGATGATCCGTTTTCAGAGTGAGCGTATTCGTTCATTAACATCCACACCCTCACACTCGCCCAAAACTCCTATTCTCGTAGCGATTCTTTCCGTAAAATGCTACTATGATCACGGTTCCTTGGAAATCAGGCAAGATCGAAACGTTTGATAGTTTTCTCTTCGCCAAGTGTTTTTGATTATATCGCGCCCACTCTTATTTTCAAGAAAAATATCTGCTTGATTCTCACGGTTATATTTAAATATCTAGGACAAATATGTTTTCGAGAACAAAAATGTGATTTGAGCAAATATTTTATTAATAGGAGATAAGATAACGTAGGATATATATACATCAGAATAAGAAAAATATTTAGATTCCATTTTCCAATACATCAAAATGCATAAGCGCTGTATAATATTTCTTGTCTCCATTTTATTTGCCATCGTATTCGTGAAAGCTTCCGAACAGGTCAATAATGAAGCTAAAACAGCATTGTTGAACAGCAACTTCTACCAACAGGTTACGCAAAAATACGGACATATCGTTCATTTTGATTTAAAACATTTGATTGAACATGCAAGCAAAATGAATTCAGATCGTTTCATTGAGATACGTGGTTATGATTCGTCACAAACCAATTTAGAACTGAAAAATATCAAACCTAAAGCGATCATTTTCTTCGAGCTGTCCCCGAGCAATGAAATACTTGACAACTTATTTATAATCAGTCTTGGTGATCAGCAAACAATGGGTGATATTTTAATCAATAACCAATGGTTTATAGGTGAAAAGAAAGACGCAAATGACAAAGGGTTATTAATTCCTTACACTACGACACATACAAATACCAAAGGTTCGAGAATAAATCTTAGTGATAATAATTTTAGACCGCATATTTCATCGGGATCATATTGTAATGGTATTGGCAATGCTATTGTAACAAATGCTGCTTGTCTCGCGCTTGGTGGTGTCCCCGTTTTAGGCCCAGTGTTCGGTATAACATGTGCCATTGGCTCGATAGCATGTGCTGGAAAATAATTGATCGAAACTTATTCATGGCCGGTTCATTCTCTAGGCTCTCGTCTAGAGTCTGAACGACACCAGTGAAAACATTTTGTTGCTTGTCAGTGTGTTCGTTTCAACATTGTATTGTCACAATAAATGTTTTTCTTGCGTTCCTGGTCTTTTTAGATCGACACACTCAGCTTTCATTTCCAATATGCAATAACAAAAGTGGGAATATGTAAATTTAATTTTCAATATTTAGAAATAATCGATTTTGTCTTGGTTTAACAAAAGTGAACGTGCGCACGCGACGATATTCTGTTTTTCGAACAGCTTTTCCATTAGGAACAGCTTCATTTTTTGTTTGAATAAGAATTTATTTTGGTTTTTAAGACAAAGTTAATATTCCTCACCCTCAAGATGAAGATCCCCACCTATGTTATTATTTCGTCATAAGGTAAAGAGTCTTTTGACAATGACGAAGTATGGGACAGGTAATGACATAAAGTAGAAAAGAAAAAAGGTGGCGATTCTTTTGTTCGTTCTTGCGGTTCACACACTGAAGGATTTATTCATACTTTATGTCTAAAAACAGAAAGATATTATGGGGAAATTATCAAAGTAGAAAAAAACAACAAAGAATGGTATCCTATGCACAAAATCGAACTATAAAAGAAGAGTAATGAGATGGTAATTACTACATTTTTAATTAGTCGGCTAAAAGGAAACAGTCACCTGTGAAATCTCGGTTTTATTGGCATCTCATACTACTTTGGATAATTCGAAATATAGCAGTGGGATTCAATTTACGTCTTTTAATCGTTGCCACATATCTTGCTCTGCTTATGTGCATGACTACCAGTGCGCCTTCTTCGTCGAAAAGCGATAAAACTGTTCCGTCCCATATGAAGAAGTCAAATCTCTTTTATCGTAGAATTTATAAAACAACAATTCAAGCTCTCGGACAAGACTATGCTAAAGGAAATTCATCCACAAGTCACACAAAGGACGCGGGTGATTTCGCTCCTGAAGGTGTGGATGCCTTCTATGTGTTTGATGTGAGTTTTTCATTAGTTCGATATCGATTGTTTATTTGTATTTTTGTATAGAATGAACAAGAAGCATTAGATTGGGGTCGCTGTCATACAGAAGGCACAGCCATTAAAACATACGTTATAGGCACCCATGTTGCCTCTCTTTTAGGAATTGCGTCGCAGTTGCGCGCATTTGCGACGCAGCTACCGCATTTACCTCGATTGCTTATTGGATGATTTAAATAACAATGGTAAATATCGTTAGCAGGATATAAAAGGAGATGCAAAAGACGTTTAAACTCATTTCTTCAACTTCCAACTACCGAATCACTTCAATATTTTAGCAGGTAACTTCGATAGATAATTGACACCTAGCATCCCCATGAGTCATCATTTTTCGACCAATAGGATTTGAGATAATGGTTTTTCAGCGAAATGGGTTTCCGATGCCGGTCTTTGAGATTTACATGACTTCCTATGCTCTTTTTCGATCAGCGTGATCAAAAATCTTCAAATTAGACACCAGTTATAGTATTAGAAGATAATATTGTTTCGTTTTTTTCCTCATTCGTGTATTGCAAGAAGTCTTTCTGACGGATTATCTC